ACGCTCGTCACACTCCCTTAACAGACAAAAACCAAAAAAAACTATTACAATACTCCATTAATTAGCGTGATTCTGTGATGTGCTAAAAAAACCTGTGCATTCTTTTGTACATTTATATAACTAACAATGTATTTTTATGGGAGCGCCAACACTCGACTACCTCTCCTCACCAAGGCTTCCCGCCGACTGAGAGGAGCGCAAATATTGCAGGAAGTGACGTCCCTTTACAAAATAAACGTCCCCGATGGGTTTACCATAAAACAAAAACATAATAAAAATACACGACAAAAATACATAAACTCCAAATTTTGGGGAAATGAAATACAAATACTGTTTTCCTCTTTTCTTTTGTTTTATTACTTCGGCTACACGTGCACGGCTGTTTCTCCCCGATTAAAACTTCATTACGGAACACCCCCAATTACCTACTAAACAGCCTCTCGTGCATGCAACCCGATAGGGGATCCGTGGGTGACGTCATCCCTAGCGATCACCGGTTACAATTACAAATATCAACTCTAAACACAAAAAGCATACAATAGGTATTTTAGACATCCAGAAATTTTGCAAATGTTGCAAAAGCAGTCAAGTAGAAAATAATTTGAATAGTGGAATGTAATCGTGTGCATTATGTGTGTATGATCAGCAGGGTTTAAATATGAGTACAGTCAATCTATTTCAATACATCTATATTGTACAGCACAATACTATATACAGTACTATACACTATATACAATATCTATACAGTATCTAAGAAGTATTGCATTTGTAAAATACAAGTAGAAAACCCCTTGTCTCATGCTGTCTTGCCATGCTTTGTAAGTAAGGCTGCTGTAGTTTGCAATTATTTCCTTGTTTGCGGCCTGCCTGCTGCCACAGTACTTGTCTTGCTCCTGACATCCATCCCCCATGTTCCAGATGTTTCCAGTGATGGGACTTAGTCTGGTAGGTTCAGTTTCACCATAGAATTCATGATAATCGACAGAGGTCCTGTTATGTGATAAGATGGTGGCCATTTCTGACATACTGCATCACTGAGGTCATTTCCTTCCCCTTTTTCATGTTTAGTTACACAGTGACAATCCCTAGAGACACTTTAATGATATGCAGTGACTATTTAAACAGAACATGTCGCATCACACAGTGTCTGCGCATTTGCTGCATGTTACTGTGCGCATGTGTTGCACCTTTTTTCTTCTGAGAACAGAGACATTAAAGGATATCAGTGGTATCAGAGCAGACCAGGAAGAGAGAGCCAGTCTTCAGAGGGCTGAGGTCTCTGACAGACTCAGTCATGGTTCCTCTCCTCTTCCTCCTCCACGTCTTCTTCATTAGGCTGCCAGGTAAGACAGAAATTGTCACGCCCTGCTCCGTCCGCTCCTGATGTGTGCCACGCCCACCTTGTTACCTTGTGTTCATCCCTGATTGTTCTCACCTGTGGCTCGTTACCCGTAGCTTGTCTTTTGTATTTAGTCCTCGTCTGAGTCAGTCTTCCCCAGACTCGTCATTAATGTTCGCTGTCGTGATTCCTCGGTCCTGTTACCTCAAATAAATCCCCGTTTTGCCCTACTTCCTGACTCCGCTTCCCTGCTTCCCAGATCGCCTTCTGACCGACCTTGACAGAAATATTCACCATTACGCATTATTCTTATTAGTTCACCAGGAACAATGAAAAAAGAACAATGCCTGAATATCAGTTTATATTATCAGATGTGTGTCTTTGTTTAGAGAAACAATACACAATGTTAATATTAATTGAATTCCTCTTAATATATTACAGTTTGTATTTTTTTTATTTCCCTGTGTTCTTGCTTGGCATCATTTATTGTTCAGTGTCATCACTGACTGTTATTACTTGATACTTAATAGTGTTGGTGTTATAAGTTGCTCTGTGTAATATTTGCTTTGTTAGAAGTTGTTGTGTAGTTCTTACATACAGTAGAAGTATAGTTGTTGTATAGCTCCTGCTCCAATACTGCTTACACTGGGCATGTATTGGAAGCTCAGCCTAGCTGCACTTTCGCCTAGTTGACTTATTGACAGCAGTAGAACCTCAGATTGCAAGCATAATTCATTCCAGAAACGTGCTCGTAATTCAAAGCACTCGTATATCAAAGCGAATTTTCCCATTAGAAATAATGGAAACTCAGATGATTCATTCCACAACTCAAACATATTCATATAAAAATGATTAATATAAAATATTAAGTAAAAATACAGAAAACAAATTAACCTGCACTTTACCTTTGAAAAGAATCGTGGATGGTGTGAGGGAGACGAGAGAGAGAAGAGGAGGGTTATTTTGTAGGATGACTTTCACTGTAACTAATGGAATCACTGCTATCTGTTGGCTCACTGGAATCTTTTTCTTTTTGTGCGACTTTAACAAGGAACCTATCCAATGACAGCCGCTTTTGCCTTCTTTTCAATTTCGCGGAAATGTGACATTCCATTGTCGTCAAACAGATTCATCGCTCGCACTGCTACACCCTTATTTGGGTGTTGCTTTTCTACTAAATTTTGACTATGCAAGTGAGGCACGCTGACTGAGACCAAGCATGGGAAACGATTACCCACAATCCCACAGCGAGAGAGAGAGAAGAACCATCGGCTCAGTTGTGATTATGTGATGCTTGACAGACAAAGCTTGGCAGTGGTGGCTTGATGGTTAGGGTAGCGCACTTGTAATTGAAAGATTGCAGGTGCGAATCCCCCACCAGCAAGTCACCACTGAGGTACCCTGAGCAAGGTACCGTCCCCAAGCACTGCTCCCCGGGCGCTGAATTAGCTGCCCCCTGCTATGTCACGAAAGTCACATATGGGTCAAATGCAGAGGTCACATTTCATTGTTGCGCACTGTGTGTTGTGGTGTGTTGACAATGACCACTGATCACTAAATTCTAATGCATAATACTCGTATGGCAAGATCTTGCTCGTTTATCAAGTTAAAATTTATAAATAAAAATTTGCTTGTTTTGAAGAGCACTCGCAAACTATGTTACTCACAATCCGAGGTTTGACTGTATGATGAAACAGCTCAAAACGTGAATATTGTAAGATGACATTGGATTGGTTAATGTATATTCACTGGCTACTTTATTTGCTACACCTGTTTAACTGCTTGTTGAAGAAATTTTCTAATCAGCCAATCAAGTGAGCAGCACAATGTTTAACATGTATGCAATGTATAAAAACACACAGATACTGGTCAGCAGCTTCAGTTAATGTTCACATCAAACACCAGAATGAGGAAGAAAGCTGCATTATGTAACTTTGAAGATGGTATGGTTGTTGCTGTCAGCCAGCTTGAGTGTTGAGTTGTTGCTGGTTTGAGTGTTTGAGAAACTGCTGATCTATTGAGATTTGCAACACAACCATCTCAAGGGTTTACAGATAATGGGTTGAAAAAGAAAAATCATCCAGTGAGCGGCGGTTCTCTGGACAAAAATGACTTGTTGATGGCAGAGGTCAGAGAAAAATGGCCAGATTGGTTCAACCTGATAAAAAGGCAACAGTAATTCAACCACTTTTTACAGCCAAGGCATGCAAAAGAGCATCTCTGAAGGCAAAACACCTTGAACCTTGAAGCAATTGGGCTACAGCAGCAGAAGACCACACCAGGTGCCATTCCTGTCAGCTAAGAACTGGAAACCAAGGCTACAGAGGTCACGGGCTCACCAAAATAGAACATTGGAAGAACAATTTGCTTGTCAAATGAGTCTCGATTTCTGCTACGACATTCAGATGGTAGTCAGAATTTGCTGTAAACAATATGAAAGGATGGATCCATCTTGCCTTGTATCAACAATTAAGGCTGGTGCTGATGGTCCAATGGTGTGGCGGATATTTTCATTGCACAGATTGGGCCACTTGGTACCAATTGAGCATCATTTAAATGCCACAGTCTTCCTGAGTATTATTGCTGACCATGTCCATCCCTTTGTGTCCATAGTGTACCCAGCTTGTAATAGCTACTTCTAAGAGGATAACACACCATGTCACAAAGCTCATATCATCTCAGGCTGATTCCTAAACATGACAATGACTTCACTGTCCTCAAATGGCCTCCATAGTTGCCAGATCTCGATCCAATGGAGCAGTTATGGGATGTGGTGGAACAGGAGATTAACATCATGAAGGTGTAGCCCACAAATCTCAGTAAGAGATATTTTACAATATTAGAAGAGACAGAATCTTGGTGGGGGGCATTTGGGGAGGACGGGCTATAGCCCATGAATGCCCCCCATGACACCAATCCTGTGCCCATGACAGTGAATTGCTCCGTGTGCCATTTACACCCTTGGTCTCCAACCAGTTTTACACTGCGAGCTACTGTTACAAAGAAAACAATCAGGGGAGTTAGTGAGTTATAATGGTTGACTTTGCACATTGAGAGTGGGAGGGGTCTTCAGTGGAAAACGATGTTGTGATCAACTAGGAATGTCTTGGCAATCGACCAGTTGGTAAACAATGATTTCCATGATGTCCCTGTAGGTGCTGACAGTGTGAGGACATTCAGGCATTTAACTACAGAGAGTGGAGAATCTCTCACCATCCCATGTTTCTATGATCAGAAGTATAAAGACCATGTGAAATACTGGTGTAAAGGGCAATTATGGTCCTCCTGTACAATCATGGCACGCACAGACTCACCACAGAGCTCCAGGAAAGTGTCAATCACTGATTATCCTGCCCAGCTTGTTTTCCATGTGATCATGAGGAACCTGAAGACAAGTAGTGACACTGCTATCTACTGGTGTGCTGTAGAGATTGGTGGCCTTGGTGAGATGGATGACTCTCAGGATCTGGTAATAGAGGTTAAAGGTAAGATGTTTTAAGAAATTTCACACATTTTCTTGCCAGGGTTGGAATGTACAGCATTTGAATACTAAAATAAGCAAACGGTACTTCATTTCTCTCCTATTCACACAGATGCTCGGAGTGTGAGGACTGTGAGCTGGGTATCTGCAGAGAGAGGAGGATCTGTCACCATCCCATGTTACTATGATCAGAAGTATAAACACCATGTGAAGTACTGGTGTAGAGGGTCTAACTGGAATTCCTGCTCCTCATTGGCACGTTCTGACTCCAATCAGACAGCAGGGAAAGTGTCAATCAGTGATGACCCCGCCCACCTGGTCTTTTATGTAATCATGAGGAACCTGCAGGAAAATGACTCTGACACTTACTGGTGTGCTGTGGAGATTCATGGGCCAGCAGATGATGGTGTCTATCTACAGCTGATTGTGATGGAAGGTGAATTATTAAATTAGCCTGCAGGTCAAGGACTGCAGATTGTATTAACTTCTCAGTATGCTACATATGTAAACAGACACAGTCTGTTATTGATCATTACATTATGTACTATGGACAGACTGTCTATGACATGGTTATGGTTACATAGTTAAATTCTCACTAGTGACATCCAAGGCTCTTTTAGTGTATTTTACTTTGATAATTTTAACTTCTTGTAAATTCAGTCATATTTAGATGTATATTATGAAATTGAGTAAGTTTGATTTAAGTTATTTAAAATGCTTTGACTGTTGTTTTGACCTGGTCTTCCACAGCAACAGCAGTTTCACCCAAACAGGGAGAGCTGACTACAGCTTTACAGCAGACAGAAAGTTTTACTTCAGCAACAAAACACCCAACAGGATGGGCTGTGACCATGTATCCCTCTGGTGCCTTGACTTCCACCACTAATGAGAATCTGAACACCATACAGTCATCAAGGTAAACTACCAAACCCATTTCATTCTCTGTATACTTGTTAATCAAAGTCTGATAAATAAAAACCTGTTATTGATCCTGCATGTAACCCTGCATGTCTTAAACCTTCACTTTCCTTCTCTTGTTCTTCTCCATTGAAATGCTCCTTCTGCTGATATTGGTGCTGCTTCTGTTGCTTTTGGCCACTGTCATGATTATCTGGATTCTGAATAACCATAGAGCCAGACTAATCTTAACATAATCAAACAAGTTAATGGTATTGTGAAGGATATTCTTTTTATTACTGCTAGCTTACAGATAATTCACATTTTTATAATAAATTAAATGTAAACATATAGTGCTGTTAGCTCACAAACTTGTAATAATCAACACAGATGACAGCGACACTCAGCTTTACTTTCACCATTCAGCAGAAATGTGGGTCAGTAACAGAAAACAATCCAGCCACCCCCTGACTGTGCATTTCCATATGTGTTTGCTTTCTGCATTATTAGGGGGACATAACCCTGTATTTGCTTGTTAATGCAACCAGCCTGCCCCTGCACACAGCAAACACTGTGACTACAGCTCTGTATATTATCCATAGAAGCAGGGGAAAGACGTCCTCTTAATCTTTCTGAACAATAAAATGAGCACAATGTGAGACCTAAGCATTTTTCAGCATGTTCTGATTGCTGGTGCCAGATGTGGAGAGATGAATGTTTCAAGCACCTTCTGGAAACCATGCCAGGATCAAGTCAGGCTGTTCCCAGGCAAAAGGTGGATAAAGTTTCCACTGAATGCATGTTCTTTGCTTGCTTATCCATCAGAGACCACACTTGGCACCTTCTGCTTCACGCTGCTGTTGGTCTGGTCTACCTGCTGTGTACTGGAGTGGCCATCATCACCTGGAGAAACCACAGTAAGTTCTGGTAAATGCTGGGTCTTAATAAACTGGAAAAGAAAATAAGAGAAAAGTGTGTATAGACCAGTGTATTTACTGATGCAGTGACTTGAGCCTCGGTTTATATCCCAGGATGTGATTCTCTCTCTTCCCCCTAACAGGGCAGTGATCACTGGGGTCTCTCTCCTAGGGAGGGCAGCAGCAGTGACAGCTCCTTAGGACGGGGCTCTGACTGCACTGACGCCCCTTCTGATCCCGCCTCCAGCTGCGACAGACACCTCCTGAAATCCGGGGCCCCGAGTGAGATGCCCTCCTGCCCTTCGGCACCCCCTTTGAGGTCCTGGTATCAACCATATGTGACCCATCCATGTCGAAAAAAGACATTTAGTTTTTGGCAGTCTGTAAAAAGAAAGCTCCTATTTCTTGTTAAATCTATTTGTACAATCAATCACAACAGCTCTTTCCCATTTTAGATGTGTTTTTTTGCAGCATTCAAGCTAAATGCTAATGCTGCCACTCAGACTTTTTGCCACTCAGTGGGTATGAGCACAGTGACTTCTACCTGCTGTGACATCATGCGCATACCGATGTTAAAAGTATTATTTGCGGTACCAACTTTTTTGTACATTTGGTCCCGTTGAGGCCAATAGTAATTACAACAGTGGCTGAG